TTTACCTAATAAATACTTACTTTAAATACATTTTCTCCTCTTTTATCTGCTTACCACAAAATAAACTATACAATGACGGATCACTAAAACTATTATTTTTATGTAAATATGTAAGGTGTTATTCATTTTCTTTAAACAAGCCTTAAATGACCTATTTTACCACACTTGAAACATTTTGCATTTTGAAATTTACATACTTTTGGCAGGTGGTTGCCCTGGCAACGAATGCAAACTATTTTGTTTACACTTTTCCAAATCTGTTAGATTCGATTTTATTTGGTTTAAACTCAGGCGATTCAAATTTATTTAATTTACCAATCACATTTAATTCTGGCATTTTTCCCTGTAGAATACTTGCATCTGTACTAGCTGATTCATCACACAGTGCCAAATTCACAGCTTTTTCAAAGGTCAAATCTTTTTCAGACAATGGTCTTTTAGCTAGAGATTCATTTCTCAGGCCACACACCAGTCTATCTCTTAAGCGATCATCTAAATCAATAAATTCACAGTTTTCGCTTAATTTTCTTAGTTCGGCCACATAGGTGATACAGATTCTGTGCCTTGACTTCTTTTATTGAAATGATATCTTTGTACAATTACGTTTGGTTTAGGACAGAAATAGCCAGTTAATAGCTTGGTCAATTCACAATAATCAATATCATTTAAAGGTTCAGGTGCGGCCAATGATCTTGCCAAAGAAAAAGTTTCTGGACCTATTAAAGTCAATAATATTGCCTTCTTTTGTTCAATTTTTTCAATGCCATTTGCCACGAAATAAAAATGAAATCATTCCAGATATGCAATCCACCCTTCAGGCTTAGATAAATCAAAATTTTCAAGCTTGCCAAAACTCGCCATTATGAAAATATTTATTATTTAAAATTCAAATAATTTTATATTTAAAATTCCTTACATATTTAATTAAGAATCGACATCCTCGTCGCCACAATTGTTATGTCTTTATATTTAAATTAATGACATTTGTTTACACACAATAACAAAAACAATTTATTCTCGAAACATCTTTTGATTACAACGTGGATGATGATTAAAAAAGTCTATAAAATCAATGATTAACAATACACAACAATTACCATCAAATATGTGATCAGCTTTTGTTTTTTTTTCCCCTCCATTTGCAGACTCAGTGGTAAATCCATGTATAAGAAAAATTTCTTTTTCCCAGATTTACCCAGACCAATCTATGAGCTTGATTGTATTAAGTTTTCCTGTATATAAATTTCATTATTACCATTAAATGTGATTAGTTTTTTTTTATTATTATTTTCATCTGCAGATTTCATATATAAGAATATATGTCTTAATAAAGGCTTTTGAGTGTGTGATTCACATTTTAACTTTTTCCTCATAACATCGGTGTAGAGAGCAAAGAACAAGGTGAACACTTCCACCAAGATATTACAATAATTGAGCAACGATACAAAGGTCTATGGAATCAACACATGGTGGCGGATTATGGTTAGGATCTGATGTGTGATAACAAGCAGGTAAAGTATAATAGACTTCACACAAAAATCGTTAAATCCATTAATGTTATTTTTTATTACTTCCTAAATATAAATTGTTGTTGTTGATTATTCCTCAAGTCGTTTAAAACGATCTCCATTAGGTTACATTTGAATTCTGATGTCAAATATCCATAGGAGATTTAAATCGATTCATTTGGTTCCATTGTCTCAGCTTTTCTATTATAGTCCTGGGGTTTCCCCAGGATAAAGGGTTGTTATTATTTGAGGTTGAATAAAAGGTTGTTTCGCATAAACATTTTTTTTTCTAAAACTGTAGAATAATGGAGAGCCACTTCGGGACGTCGGCCAGACGACAGACCGGGTGACAGCACACAAACAAACCCCCGCCCTTCCACCAGCGGCGCCACCCGGCGAGAGGATTAGCGCGCAGCGTAGGTCTGCTGATTAGTTAGTCTTCTCCTCTGTCCTCTTAACATGTTTTAATAAAGTTAGTTTAAAGGAGAATTTTACCCTCTCCTTTCTGCTATTTAGTGATCTGACTAAAATCCTTGCAACAGCTTACAAACGAACATCACTGTGAAATTCTTATACCGAACTTCGCATCATTATTCTGTGAAACGTTTACCAGCAGCCTTCACAAAAACCTTCGATCTTATAATTAAAAAAATAATAATAATATTCTCCTGAGAAATTATTCAGATTTTTTGACGATATATTTATATGATTAGAGTAAGTAATTTGATAAATAAATATCTAAGGACATAGTATTATTGAAGTAAAATATACACACAGCATATATATATGAGTGTAATATTGTTTCTTCATTTCCACTATCTTTGGCTAATTCATTTATTTATAAAGTAATTAGTTTAATATCATCGTTTTATCCTCCAGCAGATAATAATCCCCCGTGAAATTATTTATGTCCATACCTGGAAAATTTAATCTATTCGGGACAAAAATGTTAATACTGTTCAAATCGGGACGATTTTATAGGCTTTACTTTGCTATTGTCTTTAAATAAAACTATTTCCAGATCTCTACATGTCCAAATATTCGGGCGCCAGTGGCTACAGAAAAGCAGCCCACAGATTTATTCATCTATGGCACATGTAGAGACCTAAAGCTGTGCCGGCTAGCAATAAATTTTGAAGGGGAAATTAACCAATCATTTTTGGCTAAACATATTGTCGCGTGTTTACCCTGCCGGTTCTTTGCGACAACGCGCTTCTTCCCTTCGTGGTTCACCTGCTTAGGCTCCCGTTGCTCTTCCCTGCGGCTTTTCCCCGCAGGCCACCCAAAGACGTCCCGAGTTCCACCACTCAAGTGGAAACTCCCTTTCTCTGGCAGTATCTCTCGGCCTTACCACTGGTGGGGGGACACGAGAGACTTACCAGAAGAGTAGTAGCAGCAGAAGTAGCCTGTCGATGATGGCAGTGACGAGAGTAACGACAGGAGGCGGCACAGAGACTTGAAGCACTTCTTTTATTGTCATCTATTACTAACATTAAATCTAAATAAAACAACAGACAATGTGTATTTACATGACCCTACATCCTGGGGTCAACACAAAAGCGTATTTACATACAACCTCCCCAGGAAACGGGACCACAGCAGTCGGCGACTCCCACATCAGCCAGCAAGGGAATCCGGCGAAAGCGCCATCTATTGGCGGAGATTGCAACCGTTTAGAGGCCTTACACGTAACAATATTTTATTCTAATAAAATAAACTTTCAATGTACATCAGATATATTTATTAAAAACAAAGAAAAAATACTTAATAGAATCACGCACATATATATAAGATTTAAAAAAAAGGTATTAAAGAAAAACTATATATATGGTTAAAAGGTTTATATATAAATATAAACTTTATACAAAAGGCCTAATATGCCAAAATCCTATATCTCCCCACCTACCTCGACATCCAGCCACCCAAGTCCAGGATTCGAAAAAGGGCGGCTAAGGCCGCAGCCAGCGGCCTGAGCCCTCAGCAACTCCCAGTCCTCAGCTTCTCGGGAAAAAAAAATCAAACTCCTACTAAATGTAAATATCCCGCTTCCTTGCCCCAGTGTTACTGGACTCACCCCCCCAAGGCTACCATCACCCTTCTTCCTGTGAAAAAAAAGTATCTTTAAAAAAAATGAAAATAAATTAAATATAGAAATTATTACAAAACTATTTTAGAGGCGTAATATTCTTTTTAAAATAAAACAATTTCTACTGTCCTTACTGCAATGGAAAAATTAAAGGGAGGGCCTGGCTCATCAGTGGTGAACCCTCCCAGCGGTTTCGCCAGTTTAATCTACCATACCGCTGTTATATTGCATTTTTGGAGAGAGAAATTATCCTCGTCCGCTGTAAGTCCCAGTGGGACTTTTTCGGACAAAACAAAACAAAAAACAAAACATGCCGCCCGCTGCAAGGAACAGACAGCAAGGGTCGCAAGGCGCAGAAAGCTGCAGGAGACACAGAGAAAAAGAGAGAGAAAGAAGAAGAGAGAGAGAGAAGCAATAGTCAAAGAAGGAAGTAAGGAAGTTCAAGTACACATTCAGCCCCCTCCACAAAAGGGCATTTTCAGGACCAAACATTTATATGAAAACATTCAGGCAGGTTAGAGAGAAGTCAATGGTCGAAAGGGTCAAGGTCAATTCAAAATATATATATGGAATGATACAAATTAAGTAAAAAATGATAAATTATTAAAAAGTATTAAAGCACAAGGAATCAAGCATTAAAAATTTAGAAAAAGTGAGTAAGGAATGGTAAAAGATATTTTAAAAAGCAAAGAATTCAAAAATAGTCAAGGAAGAACAAAAGGTGTGACCAAAAGAGGAAAAATTGAGAAGAAATAAGAAAAGCAAAAACAAAGTCAAACAGTGGTAAAAACAAGAGAAAAAGAGATAAAAAGAGAAAGCACAAAAATTAAAGCAACATAAGAGAAAACTATATACAAGAGGTTGAGTGACGGTAAATTAAGGGATCAGAGGAAATCATATTTTTTTTTTTTGTAATAATTTATTATTTTAAGTTGTTAAACATATATAGTATTGTATTGATTTATTAGCAATGCTTGAAACTTTTATCCGGGGCGGTATTCTCATCACCTTGCAACACTATGATCCACTTCTACCAGGGTTTCAGACAATGCCCCATAGGTGTGATACAACTCCACCTCAACATATCCCCATGCAAAAAGCGTGTACCTCACGCGCCGTGTACACGCTTTTTGCATGGGGATATGTTGAGGTGGAGTTGTATCACACCTATTGGGCATTGTCTGAAACCCTGGTAGAAGTGGATCATAGTGTTGCAAGGTGATGAGAATACCGCCCCGGATAAAAGTTTCAAGCATTGCTAATAAATCAATACGAGACATTTCTGTCATGCAAATTAATAAGTCTAGTATCAATTACATATATAGTATCATAAAGAAAAACAAAAATGAAAAAGAAGCAAAAATATAGTTTAAAATTTTTTTTTTTTTTTTTTGGGATAAAATCCTCTTTTGTTTCCTCAAAGTCTCTCTTTTTTTTTTTTTTAGATCCCCAAAATCAGAAAAGAAATAAAATGCCAGGATTCAAACATTAATTTTTAAGTAGAATAAGCAAAATTTGAAAAATATTAACAAAGAAAGAAAAAAGGGTGATCAAGGAAGATAATTATATATGATGAAAAAGAAAAGTAACAAAATGTGGAAAAAATCAATTATGAAAAGGATAAATAGCAAAACAACAAAGGCAAACAATTATAAAATACAAGATAAAAGATAGAGTATGAGAAAGCAAACAAATTAGAGCAAATTTAAAGAAAAATGTGTAAAAAAGGAAAAGTGACGGCAAAAAGTGGGATCAGAGGAAATCATTACTTTTCTTTAAAAAATAATAATAATAATAAAATTAGTGATATTATTATTTAAACATACTAAATAACATGAAAAATGAAAATTAAGCTTGGATAATAGCAAAGAAGTGGTAAAAAATATTAATTAGGCTTTTTTTTTTTTTTTTTATTCCACAAAACTAAAAGAAAAAAAAAATAAAACCAGGCTATATACAAAGTGAAAGTGAGTAAAAAAAAAAACAAATAAACATAGCAAAGCAAATTTAATTTGATGAATCATCAGAATCAGGTATATTTGATTGAAAAAACCTGCCGCACCTGCTGGCAAAGTCAACCGCCAGACGCCAAACTTTGGGCGAGCTAACCAGGTCTTTTAGAGAAGAAGGGATAGACCCAACCTCAGTTAAACAGCCTTTGTAAAAGGAGGACCTCAAGTCGTCCAATTGTGGACAAGTGAAGAAAATGTGGGAAACAGTCTCATCACCCGTTCGACAGCCGGGGCAGGAAGGGGTGAACAAAAGTTCACCTTTCTTGTATCGGAAGGTCGCAATGAAAGTATGACCGGTGATAAACCCAGTGATGTAGTCAGTTGTAGGGTAGACAAAACTGTGGTCTGTATGGAGAGATAAAGGGGAGAGGCCAAAAGTTTTAAGGATAGTAGGGTTTGAGGAAATAAATTCATCATTCCACTGCCTCCAGGCCTGACGGTGGAGGTAGCGAGACACAGTTGTGGCTGAAGCTAGAGAGTAAAGTGGTGGGGTATCTCTATCGTTAGCCGCCCTACGAGCTAGGGAGTCGGCAATGATGTTGCCCACCGTATCCGCATGGCCATTGACCCAGTGAAGGGAAATAGACCTAGAAAGAAGGAGATTGTGAAGAATCCTCTGGCATTTGAAAACAAGAGGATGTCTGGTTTCAAGGTTAGGAATGGAGTTTAGAAGAGAGAGGCAGTCAGAAAATATAGCAATAGTTAGTTGGGAGGGAAGAGAAGCAATGTCACGGAGAGCAGTGAGAAGAGCGAAGCCCTCAGCTTGAAAAACTGAGCAGTGGGAAGAGAGAGGAAGATATAGAAAAAGAGGAGAGAAGGAAGAACCGGGGCAAGGGACGCGGGCAACACCAGAACCAACTCCAGAAGAAGTCTTAGAGCCATCGGTGTAATAACTGATGTCAGGAAGGAAGGAGGGAAGAGGAGTGGGGGAAAGGTCAGGGATGGCTGGGGGAGAGGGGTAGATGTAAGGCAGCGGCCTCCTCTCAGCGCGGAAGGGAAGTGACCCGGGTGGACGAAGGAGGGATGAAAGTAGAAGGACCTTCATGTCCAAAGGAAGGACCCTAAGAAGGGCGATAGCTGCAAGGGTTGGAGTGGTGCGGAAGCCCCGGATGGCATGGACACTGTGTGGACCTCAGCTGACTGCGACCAGCCCTGGTTTTGGCAGCATCTTCCCAAATGGAAGCAGCGTAGGTGATCGCTGGTTCGATTGCCCCAAGGTAAAGCCTCCTACGTGCATGGAAACCAAAGCCATATCTGGCATTGGAGCACCTCTCAAGACGGGAGAAGAAGGAAAGAGCCCTCTCACAAACCCTCTGTAAATGAGGGGAGAAGGACAAGCGATCATCGAAAGTGACCCCGAGGATTTTGAGGCTGTCTGGGCACGCCAGCTCCAAACCATCAATCTTCAAAGAGGGAGGGTTGTTGAAGATAGGGAGGACCCGGGATTTATCCGGTGAGAGAATTAGTTTCCGGTCCAGACACCACTCGGAGATCAAGTCGAGGGTCCGTTGCGCTGAGGAAACAATGGAATTGGGAGGGCCAGAGACAACAATCTGTAAGTCATCGGCGAAGGCTTGCACATGAACACCCGAAGGAAAGGGTAGAGAGAGGACCGAATTGAAAACAATGTTCCAGGCATGTGGTCCACTCTTGGAACCCTGGGCGCACCCACGGGTGGGAAATGCAGAGCGAGTATAGCCCCGATGGGAGAGGGAGACGGACCTATTGGTAAAGAAAGATTGATAGACCGCTTGGAGAAGAGGAGGACAGGAAGCTTCAGCAAGGCAAGCAAAGAAGGCAGGGTGCCAAAGGTGGTCAAAGGCAGACTTAATGTCAAGACTAATTAGGAAACACCCTTGATGTGTCTTGACTGCCGAAGATACCCTCGATTTTAACATTGAGAGGGCATCAATCGAGGAGCGGCATCTTCGGAAGCCAAACTGTAGGGGGTGCAATAACTTATTTGACTCAAAAAAGTGAGCAAGCCTAAGAGTAATTATGTCCTCAAAGACTTTACCTAACACCGGTAAAAGGGTGATAGGACGGTGGCGGGAGGCAAAGTCTTCAGAGGAGGACGCCTTGGGGACCAGGACAAGCCTGCCTGTCTTCCAGAGTGTAGGGAAAAAACCAAGAGAAAGACAGCGGTTAAAGAGAAGTAGGAAGAAGGAGGGAAAGGAAGAAAGAAGCCACTTAGCAAACTGTCCAGGTAACTGGTCAGGGCCATGTGCCTTCCTGGGATTAAGGTTGTTAATTGCCCTAGAGTACTCAAAAGGAGTAATAGGTGGGTCATGAGGAGAAGAATGAGAGGAGGAGCTAGTGTTTAGAGCAAAGTGAAAGGGCCTAGTGTCAGGAGGGGGGTCTGTGAAGAAAGAGTCCAACATATCCTGAAGACAGGCAGGGATGTTATGGTGAATTAAAATATTCTCAAACCGTCGGGAGCAAAGAGGGTTAGGTTTAGCCGAGCCATGGGAAATATAGCGATAGATTGGACCCCAAGGATTATGCTCAAAAGTATTGCAGAGTTTCCTAAAATAATTAGTCTTAGCCCTGTCAATAGCCTTGTTGTAGCGGTTACGCACCTCCATATAACGTTCTCTCAAGCGGTCACGAAGTGGAGGAAAGAAGTTCTTATATTCCCTTCCCAGTCTCCTGGAGAGGGTTTTAAGGGACTGTAGTTTAGGAGACCACCAGGGATTGGGTGGGGGAAAAGCAAGAAGTGGTCCCTTGGGGGAAAGGTTGGCAGAACAACACATGTGTAAATGTTCGTAAAAAGTGCCAACAAAGCAATCAATGGAAGCGGCAGAGTCACAATTGTTCAGAGCCACCTGCAGGGCACCTTCAGGAGAAAGGAGAGATTGAAGAGAAAAGAAAAGCCTAGAAGGTGGGGCAGATTTAAGATTAAAAGAGGAAAAGTCAGGAAAGAGAGAAGGAGAAGAAAGAGGAGAGGCATCAAGATCCGGGGTGGAAACAGAGAATGAGATCTCAAAGTGATCTGAGAGATCCCACTCAACCGCATCCCACCCGGACACAGAAGAAAGGAGACTGGAGGTGATGCAGGTGACATCAATGGAAGAGGATGAAGATCCTTGTGCACGGGTAATGGCTCCATGACGGTTACACACCGCCAGGTTTAGGGAGTCCAACATGAAGTTGAGGTGCGTACCTTTGACACGGTGGCGGTTACTCCAGCGGTTGGACTCTGCATTAAAATCTCCAGCAATAAGGAGATTTGGTGGAGGAGGAGAGCCAAATAAATTAGTAAAAGATTCAGCTGTCCTCGAAGCATTAGCCCGGCAAGGAATGTAAACCGAACAGATGGTGAAGTGGAAGTTCGGTATGTCAACAACCGCTAGAACACGGTTAACATTAGAAAGTTTGGGGAGGAGTAGAACCGGTAGTACTTGGTTCAGCACCACAATAGCCGCACTACATTTGTTGTTAGAAATGGGGGCATGCAAGATAGAGGAAGGTGGAATAGGGTGGGCAGACGGAAGTCGGTTGTTTGAAACAGGAAGTTCTTGCAGCAGTAGGAAATCTACGGCTTTAGAAGAAGCTTCCTGGAGAATGGAATGGAAACATGCAAATGAACGGTTGCAATTTAACTGCAAAAAAGAGATTAGCATGAGTGTTGAACCAAGTTATGGAAACTCTCCTCCACCATTCGTATGACCGGACAGGCAAATGAGTCTGCCCTGTGACCGTTCTGATCCGGCTTGCAGCGGAAACAACTGGGGCTAGCACCAGTTGTGGGACAGTCCGCAAACTTGTGGGCAAGCCCACAATGAAGGCAACGCACCGGGCCAGAACAAGAATTGGTCCGGTGCCTGAGACTACCACAGGACCTGCAGGGGAAGGTAGCCCTAGTCCTGTCAATGGACAGAGAAGAGAATCCGAAATAGATTCTCTTTTTGCCCTCCAGAGCGGTGGCAACGATGTTGTTGGTCTCAAACACCGCATGGACCCGACCGTTCCGCGCTGAGATAGTTCGGATGAGTCGGCAGTCAGTATCCTGACATTCGACCGACCGGACGAACATGGTGGTAAGATCCTCCTCATTGGTAATGTCAGGTACATTAAAGATGGTGAAGCGATGTGGAAAGAGGGAGGTGTAGATATTTTGATATTTGTATTTTTGGTAAGGTCCACCAGTTTACGGTGCAGTTTAGTAAAATCCTCTTTTGACCTAGTGTGTATGGTAATTTTATCCCTGGAAGTATTTAAATGGGACCCAGGAACCCCCAAAGCGGAGAAAGAAGACATGTTAGAAAGCCTAAGGCTAAGAGGCTGAGCCTCCTTGGGGTCCTGTGTGATAGTAAGGTGAAACGGGTTATTGGTCAAAGTAAACCTAGAAGTGGTCTTTGGTTGGGTAGAGACAGGTCCCCGACTAGCCGAGGGGGCTGAGCTAGCAGGTTGCACAGAAGGACGGCTTGAGGCCATGGCAGAGTACGAAAGGGGAGCGGCAGTAGCGGAAGTGTCAACAGGGGTGGCAAGTGTACTTATGGTAGAGATACCAGGCTCAGCAAGAGTGGCTGAGGTGGCATCAACAACAACATGTGGGTGGGCAAAATGCTGCTGTTTTGATTGGGAAGCCATCTGTAATAAGAGTCCAGAGGAAAAATCCAATTCAGAGATACGACGTTCATAGTCGGCCCTAGATGTAAAAGAATGTCCTTAAGTTCAGAAAGAACTGAGGAACCAAGTTCAGCAGAAAATTCAGAAATGGAATTAGAGATAGTCTTAATTGAGATGGCTGCCCAATCAAAAATATCAAAACAATTGCTAGAAGTAGTACATTTAGAAAAGGCCACAAAATTAGGTGGCGGCTCCAAGGAAATGGTAGGCACAGGAAAGTCCTCAATGTCAACAATAGTATTAGGTTGGTAAGAATGGGAGGAAGAAAAAGATCCAGATTCAGAAGGAGAGGGAAAAAGAGGGCGAGATTGAGATTAACTCACAGGTTTTAGGTTATCCGGGTCCAGAGTAAGGCGCAGAGTGGCGTCGCGCATATGATCTGGGGAGTAAGTCAGCTGAGGGTCTTAGCCGGCGGGAAGGGTCTCGGTAGGGCCCGCATTTTTGGAACTTCCTTTTATAGTTGACTGTTGTAAGACTCTTGGAATGGGTATTTTAGAAGAACTATGGACATAAGCTTTTAGGACAGCAGAATTAAATATAATTATAAATATATAATATGCTTCGAGCAATCGCTCTTCCGCAAATATCAAATTGTGTCTTTTATTTGAACAATTATATTACGATGCACTTGCGCGCCATCTGTATATATATATTTATAATTATGTTTAATTCTGCTGTCCTAAAAGCTTATGTCCATAGTTCTTCTAAAATACCCATTCCAAGAGTCTTACAACAGTCAACTATAAAAGGAAGTTCCAAAAATGCAATATAACAGCGGTATGGTAGATTAAACTGGCGTAACCGCTGGGAGGGTTCACCACTGATGAGCCAGGCCCTCCCTTTAATTTTTCCATTGCAGTAAGGACAGTAGAAATTGTTTTATTTTAAAAATAATATTACGCCTCTAAAATAGTTTTGTAATTTGATAACAGATGGCGCGCAAGTGCATCGTAATAGAAATTATTAAAATAAAATTCACAAAAATAAATAGAGATTAGAAAATATTGAATAAAAAATATATAATTAATATTGTAGGATCTGGGCATCTTGTGGTCAGCTTGGGAAAGGTTCAGGCTCGTGGTGGAGCTGGTGTTCTGCCTGAAGATGGTAACTTCAACACCCACCATGGGCTTGTGGCTTGCCCATAGGCATACTGGAGTCTGGCTTGGTACTGGTGGAGTCAAGTCAAGCACCATAGGTCAGTGGCTTGACTACAGGGAAGGGGCATCTGAGTCTATCTTGGACTCTGGCTTGAATTCAAGTTGGCCACCATGGGACATGTGAGTCAATCACCAGAAGGGGTGTCTGAGTCCATCTCAGACTAGCTTGGTAGGGCCAGGTCATCCACCACAGGTCAGGTGGCTTGACCACAGGAAGGGATGTCTGAGTCCATCTTGGACTCTGGCTTGTTGCTGTCAAGGTCGAAGGTGGCCTCAGGCTCCATCTCTACACCTCACAATCACTGAGGTTTGCGGCTTAGATTGACAAAGGTGGGACACGGTTAGGTTAGGTGGGGTTCTGGGTGATTTTGGTATACTATGGTCACGGGGGGTCCTAACAATACCACGTTAATCAGCACAAAAATTTAAATATGGTTTGTTTATTTGAAGGGAGTTTTTTTTTTTTTTTTCCATTTTGTGTATACTAGTGTTATTTTTTATGAAATTTAAAATGAATTTTGATCATCCTGATTATTTTAAAATCTATGAATGTTTAAAATCTTTTTACATTAACAAATTTTACATATACATATTTTTTTTTTTACATATATATATTGTTTTTATCTCTCATCTGAAAAAGTTAGTTATTAAATGTGCAATATATAAAAACATATATTAATTTTTATAACGTATAAAAAATATTAGAATAACCATGAATCTGTCTATTTTTAGCATAAAATAGAGATTAAAATAATAATTTTAAATAATTCATAATTTAATGGATAGATGGCAGCACATGCCCTTGAAAAATTGTCTATAAAGCACGAAAGTTTATATGAATGTTTAAAAGATACGTTCCACAAGAGAGAGATAAAATCTATTCTAAGTTTTATCTTAATGATAGTGGATTATTGTTGTTTTAATTTTGATAACATTTATCAACGCTAGGTGGGGACCGTTTTCAATTATTTATTTATAAAGAGGAAATATTTTCTCTCTCTCTCTTATTACTGCTCAGATATAATTGGATGTTTAGTTTTTGATTATTATTACAATCTATTTTGCGCTAATGAGGTTTCTATTATAGTTCGTTGGCTATATTCACTCATTTGGTTGATTGTCTCCTTGTATAGAAATTGTAGCTTATAGGTCTATATACAACGTGTGATCAATAATTTCCAGGAATGAGACTGGATCACGTAAAATATTCAAAATAATGAAATAATTTTAATAAGGACCTTATAGATAAAACATTTATTAACACGTAGAAAAAAATTTGATCACACAGAGGCACGCGCTCACGTTTTTTCGAATTTATAAGCTCGAGTTTATCAGAACATTTTTTAACTCCAGTATGGACTGTATTGAAAAACAGCGAGTCTGCATAGAGTTTTGCTTTAAATCAAGGAAAACAGCTTCCGAATCATTTCAAATGTTGAAACAGGCTTTTAAAGAAGATGCCCTATCACAATCGAGGACATTTGAATGGTTTGCACGATTTAAAGCTGGTCGAACAAGCGAGAGAAAGCAAGGACGATCAAATCGAAGATTAAGTGTCTTCTTATCACTTTCTTTGATGTAAAGGGATTGGTACACTATGAATTCGTGCCCGAGGGTCAGATCATTAATCAACATTACTATCTTGATGTATTGTGACGTTTAAGGAAGGCTGTGCGTCAGAAACGACCCGAAAATGGCATCGGAAAAATTGGCTTTTGCACATGACAACGCACGGCCACATACGGCCGTCACTGTACCACTCTATTTGGCTAAAAACGGAATTGATTTATTACCCCAGCCACCCTATTCTCCTGACTTTGCTCCCAACGACTTTTTCCTTAACCCTTAAATTTAAAAAGTCTTAAAAGGACGTTAATTTGACTCAATGCCTGAAATAAAGGAGAATACGAAGAATATTTTGAAAAGCCTGAAAGATGAGGATTTTCAGAGGTGTTTCGATATCTGAAAAAAAATATGGAACAAGTGTATAGATAGTGACTGTTTAATTTAGTTAGAATATTTATGTTTATATAAAGGTTTAATATAATTTTTCTATGATTGTGTAAATATTCATTGAATTTATCATCATCACCTTTGTTGTTTACACAAAAATGTTATATGAAAAATAAAGTAAGAAATTGAACGAAATGGTTGCCCTCATGTTTACTGATCCAATGTTTTAATAATCTAAGGTTTATGTTGTAAGAAAATTATACATTGAGAAGAATTATACATTGGTCCCTCGAGCCGGATGAACGTAAGTAAAAGTCAAGTTAAAATTGATCGAAAAAAAAAGGGCAACTTATAAGTTATATAAACCTATAAAAATAAAGGTCTCCTCTCCCGGCAAAACCAGATGTCATCTATTGGCCGTCGCTGCAAACTAGCGGCCTCGGGTCGGTGACAAAGCCACAACACCAGCTTTGACAAACCGAGAAGCGTCCACCTGAAGACCATGGTTTCGGGCTAATGGTCATCCTCAGTCCAGGGCAGACTTTATTCCATGAGATCCACAAGGGATCAAATGGAATATTCTTGCACCTCTTTGGCAGATTGTGAATATTCTATTTGATCCCTTGTGGATCTCATGGAATAAAGTCTGCCCTGCACTGAAGAGGGCCATTAGCCCGAAACCATGGTCACCAGGTGGACGCTTCTCAATTTGCCAAAGCAGGTGTTGTGGCTTTGTCACTGACCCGAGGCCGCTAGTTTGTGGCGACGGTCAATAGATGGCGTCTGGTTTTGATGGGAGAGGAGACCTTCATTTTTTAGACCAATATCCTTCAGTCGAAATTTCTATCTATTTTTATGAATGTTTATTGAAAACATATAATTATTGTATACACATAATTTTTTTATGAAAATTCGAAACTATTATAGACGCGTATGATTCATAATATCATATTATCATATATATATAATATCATATTATAAAATATTTATAAGACACAATAAACATTTATAAAAAGGTTTATGAAGTTTTCAACTTGAATTAAACTTATTAATTAGGTTTTGGTGTATATATCATCTCTGCCTTACTATATTATAAATCCTCTGTTTTTTTTTTGTTTTGTTATTTCTTCCTTTGCAGATTCTGCGGTGAATGTACACGACTATGTGTCTTAACGAAAGACTTTTGTCTGTCTAGAAAATGTCTACAATGATCGCGTGAGATCCTAGAACTGCTTAATGATTAACAGATTTAAGAGAGATGTGTAAATTTCAAATCTTGATTAGTGTTAAAATGTGTTCTAAAATAGCAAATGCATGAATATATATTGTATACAAGACTTATCTCTCCTTTATGCAAATCAATACGACATGCTGTACCTTCCAGGAATCTGGGTTAACTAAATAAATAAAATAATACGACATATATATGTATAAGCGCGTTCACAACATTGATAAAAAAATATATGAGCTACTGTTGTCAATCCCTGTTTGCAACTTTGGCTTGGGATTCCTGGCTATGAGAACAGTGATTATCTAAGTAGTTTCCCTCATACGCCTGTACTTTTGAGTTCTCTAATTTAAACCATTGATTAAAAAAACAATACTCCACAAAGGATATTCCGGATAAAAAAATAGCCATTGGGGCCACTAGCGTTATTATCTTTATCCAGAATACTTAGGATTGACTATGCAAATAAAATTCTATATTTCTCTACGATTCAGCCGCTATTCATCTGCTTCCCTTCTTTTGGAACCCCGTCCTAGACTCTGCCCATTTAGATTATTTATCCTTCCATAGTTTTATCATCAATTAACATTTTAAGAATTTCTTCCATATGACGTGTGCACGGATGATTCTAAAACAAAGGATGGTGTTGGCTGAGGAACTTTTAGAACCACTTCTATCGTGAGAATTCTAGCAGCACATAAATTAACTTGTGTCAAGTGTGCTGCAATCTGAAGTGATAGCCTTAATTAGAGCACTTGAGGATGCGAGCTCACTGCCTGAGCACCTCAGCAGCACCTGAATATATTGTAGTGGAGTACTTATTATTTTACAAGCATTTATTATTTTACACTTGTATTAACAGAGTATCATTTTTTATGTCTATATTTTACTACTCTGTAAACTTCCCTCATTCCTTATCTTTTGTTTATCATTCATAGTTTGTTCTTGCCTTAAATAAATTGCTGTGTCACCCCGAAGTTTGTCTTCCCTAATTTTCCACGTGACATTTTGGTGGAGATGCTGGGTAAGTTAGGGAAGACAAACTGAATATCGACGAGAAGACCTAGAGGCCATGGATGCTGTGATCTACATTGTCAAAGACTGGCTCCAGGATTCCACCGCCGTATCAAAGCCAAGACTTCCCTCGAAGATGACGATGTCCTTATAGACGATACGACACAAAGCCGCTCTTCACGCCGCAAGAAAAAGGACGCAAAGGTACTAGGGACTAAGTTCCAAGACTTCGATGGAATCCTTGGCAGAAGCCCGTAAAATCCATGTCAGGATCTACAATGATTGCTATCTGTGGGTCACAGCTCTCATAGGAAAGGAGCTATGTAGCGAAGTATTTATTATTTTACACTTGTAGTGACAGAGTATCATTTTTTATGTTTATATTTGACTACTCTGTAAACTTCCCTCATTCCTTATCTTTTGTTTATAATTCATAGTTTGTTCTTGCCTTAAATAAATTGCTGTGTCACCCCGAAGTTTGTCTTCCCTAATGTTCCACGTATTCCACGCAGAGTATTAGGCTCATAGATTGTTGAGCTCTGGAAACCAAAAGGAATAATACTCTGCTAGTGATCTCTTTTGACTTGTATATAATATATAATTATTATAATAGGAAATAAACTAATGCTTAGTTAATCTTGCCTCGTCTTGGATAACAACACATGGTGGCAGCGGTAAACTGAATTCATAAAGAAAATCGTTTTTCGAAGAAAATTTGAAATTCGACATCAAGCAAGCTTAGAAGCGGTAAACTGAATTCATAAAGAAAGTCGTTGTTCGAAGAAAATTTGAAATTCGACATCAAGCAAGCTTAGAAGCAGTAAACTGAATTAATAAAGAAAGTCGTTGTTCGAAGAAAATTTGAAATTCGACATCAAGCAAGCTTAGAAGCGGTAAACTGAATTCATAAAGAAAGTCGTTGTTCGAAGAAAATTTGAAACTTGACATCAAGCAAACTTTTTGGTAAGTTATATTATATTATAAGTAAATCTTTATAATGTCCCAAAATTATAATTGTGTAGCCCCAGAACCTTTTAATTTTTCAAATCCAGGTGATTGGCCAAAATGGATTAGGAGATTTGAACGTTTTAGGCAGGCAAGCGGGTTAATTAATAACCCAGAAAATGAGCAAGTTAATATGCTCGTGTACTGCATGGGTGATAAGGCAGATGACATTTTGTTGTCATGTAAAATAGCAAGTGACCAACTAGAAAATTATGGTAAAGTTATTGAATGCTTTGAAAGTCACTTTATTCCAAGACGTAATATAATTTATGAAAGGGCAAGATTTAATCAAAGATGTCAGCAGGAAGGGGAAAAGGTGAATGAATTTATCACAGCACTCCATAGCCTAGCTGAGCACTGCAATTTTGGGATGTTACATGATGAGTTGATTAGGGATAGGATAGTTGTTGGAGTAAGGGATAGAGCATTATCTGAAAGAATGCAACTTGATACAGACTTGACCTTAGTAAAAGCCACACTAATGGCAAAGCAATTAGAAAGTGTCAAAGAACAGCAGTCTAGCCTTTACCAACAAGATTCTGTAGATCAAATAAAGAAAATGCCTAATCATATAAAAGAAGCAAAAAGGCACGAACCAAAAATAAGACAATTCAAGTCAAACCAGTTGGGAGGGTCATCACATGGATGCACCAGGTGTGGCAATTCAAATAATCATGATTGGAAAAATTGTCCAGCTATGAACTCGTATTGTAGTAAATGCAAGAAAAAGGGCCATTATGCCAAAGTATATAGATCAGAAGCCATAAATGAAATAAAATCAGAGATAGCTTTTTTGGGATCTGTAGAGGATAATTCCAAGAAATGGATAGTACCAATTAAGGTAAATAATAGACAAATTAATTTTAAAATTGACACCGGAGCTGATGTCAACGTGCTCCCCCTACAAAATTATTATCAAAGTTTCCAAAGAATAAAACAGGAAAAATCTGATAAAATATTACAAGGTCCAAATGGAATACCCTTGGAAACAGTTGGAATGATCCACGTAAAACTTCAAAATAAAGGCCAGCACTTAAACTCGAAAATATACATTGTTGATAAACTAAAGCAGCCACTTCTCTCTGGGGAGACAAGTGAAAAATTAAACATTGTGAGAATGATTCAGCAATTATCATCAGGAGGCCGCAGCGGACAGCGTGGTAGACTCGGAAGTGGAGATAACAGAGGCTGCTACAACTGCGGGGAAGAAGGCCACCGCAAGTTTGAATGTACCAAACCTGCCCGTGGTGGTGGACGTGGCCGTGGACAGAGCCGTGATGGAGGCAGCAACAACACCTGCTACAACTGCGGAGAAGTTGGCCACCGTAAATATGAGAGTACCAACAACACGGCTGAAGATGGAGGACAGGAGGAGAACCAGCGCAAGTCCAAGAAGGCTTGCTACACCTGTGGGGAGTTTGGCCATAAGAAGGACGACTGCCCCAAATCTGGAACTCAAGAGTCCGGAGATGAGGAGGAGTCCTCTGACAATGAGGAGGAAGAGACTCCCCAGAAGAGGAAGCAAGCTGAGGACAGTGAGGAGGAGGAAGTAGAAGCTGAAGAACCTCCCAAGAAGAAATCTAAGAAGCCCAAGTCCAAGAAGAAAGAAGAAGATTGCTATCTGACTCTTCAAGCACATAGGACGATCCCCCTGGAAAGCGCCAGGAGCAGAGAAATGAGGAGACCCCCACTTCGACATCAACCTGGCTCTCAAGGAGATGCAAGGATGACCAGGAGCAAGAGACCGAGGAGGATCGCCCTACACCAACGGCCTCATCTACAAGAGATGGAAGGATGCAGAGGGACAACCAAGACCAGGATCCAGAGAAGAGCCTCCCTTCAATGCCAGCCGTGCATACAAGATGGAAGGGCAGTCAAGATACCTCGAAGGTCCCTGTAAAGTTAAGGGATGAGATGTGCAGAGTATTAGGCTCATAGATTGTTGAGCTCTGGAAACCAAAAGGAATAATACTCTGCTAGTGATCTCTTTTGACTTGTATATAATATATAATTATTATAATAGGAAACAAACTAATGCTTAGTTAATCTTGCCTCGTCTTGGATAACAA